TATGCAACAGTGTACTAATGGATCAATCCGTTTAGTAAGTGCATAGCTCTTTTATACAGGCTTTGTGAAAATACTTTTAGTCATCCCAGCAATACGGTGCTGTAGATGTTTGTCTCAATGGTGCTTGGGGTAGTATTTGTAGTGATTACTGGGATAACAACGATGCCAGTGTCATATGCAGGCAGCTAGGATATTCTCCTTACGGTAATTATTCCGCACCTTGCATTTACTATTTCTAGTTATTATATATTATATAGGTGCATTGGGTCCTGCTGTTACACAAACATCATCCTCTACCCCATCTCATAATATCATTGACCTTAACTGTACTGGCCAAGAGAGCAGTATACTGGACTGTCCCTTTAATGGACTGATTGGCCAATATTCTTGCTCTAACACAAGAGATGCTAATGTGTATTGTCAAGGTATATGAACATGCTACAATGGACAAATTGCTTTAATTGATTATTATTAGATTCAAACTTAGTTACGTATAATAACTGTACTGATGGACAAATGAGATTAGTGAATGGTTCTAACGAGTATCAAGGGAGAGTTGAAGTGTGTGTGAATAGTGCTTGGGGTACAGTTTGTTCTACTAGCTGGTCCAGCACTGATGCTAAAGTTGTTTGTAGATACATGGGAGCACTAACAATTGGTTAGCCATTAATTATGGTATATAGACCCTATAAGGCACTAATTTCTGCAAGTAATTATTGCATTATGGTATCCACCCGCACTCATGATTTGAACAGCAAGATACAGTGTAGTTACATGGGGAAACAAGGAACAAGAGGCCTTCATGGCTTCCAGAGCTTGCCTGGGTGGCAATAAATGCCAGTAAGAGTGAAGAATAAAGCCCAGAATGTCTCCTGAGAAAAAGCTTTATTGGACTTGAAGCCACTTGTCTATAAAGGCTGCTTTTGATCTCCTATCCATTGGTTTTGCCTTGTTTTGCCGTCCAGCAGGAGAATTTCAAAATTTTTTTATTAAAGAATGTGGATAGGATACAGAAGATTACAAATACTGTCTCGTATATGGTATCTATAATTGCTTCTAGAAGCTAGTGCCCTATAGGGTCTATATAGCCAAAAAATTTAGTGGACTAAAATTTTGGTAAATTTGGTGAATTGAGGTCCATTTGTCAAAAATTTTGTGTTCAATTTAGTAGGGCTCAATAGTAGCATTTTGCATGCATTGGTTAAAGAGTCAATTCGCCAATTTTATAGCACTTCAAATTTTTTAGCTGAGTATTATTAATAATTATTATTGCTTATTGATGTAGGTTACCAATATAGTAGTGTCACCACTTATGGTTTTAACTATGGTCATGGGCCAATACTTTTGGGATATCTTTATTGTTCAGGACAGGAACAATCTTTGATTGACTGCAATCAAAATTATTATTCAACAAACTCTGCTTNCACTTGTAAGCAACATAGATATGATGCTGCTGTCATATGTGAACGTAAGTTAAGTACTAGTATATATCTCTCTATAAA